GGAATTATTATTTCCCAGATTGCTCTGTTTTCATGGATCAGTCAGTAAGCCAATGAATGACAGAAATAGGAAGAAGCAAAAGGATCCCAACAATTTAAAAACTAAGTGTGAAACAAAACAAAACAAAGTTGCCTAGTTAGTGACCCGTTGTGTGGTCTTTCTGTCCAGAGGCCATGATGCCAGTCAGATCACACTGGCCTTGGGCACTGCCGCTTCCTACCCCCGGGCCTGCCAGGCCCTTGGGGCCATGCTGTCGAAAGGAGCTCTGAATCCTGCAGACATCACTGTCCTGTTCAAGATGTTCACCAGCATGGACCCTCCTCCTGTGGAGCTCGTAAGCTGCCTCTCAGACCCTTTCTGTCCATTGGCGGAACTGCTTTGCGAAGTCTCCTTAGGTTCCCCCGGTTTTCTTAGGCAGAGAGTGAAAATCCCTGTCCGTGTTGCTATCATTTTCCCCATCCCCACCCCTTTTGGTCTGTGAGCTGGTGAGAGCCCCGTAGGCTGCATGAACCTGTGTGCCAGCTCCTTTCTGGCCCTTGCTGGTGTGTGCTTCTTCCGGTTACCTAGATCCGGGTGCCGGCCTTCCTGGACCTGTTCATGCAGTCACTGTTCAAGCCGGGGGCCAGGATCAACCAGGACCACAAGCACAAGTATATCCACATCTTGGCTTACGCCGCCAGTGTGGTTGAGACCTGGAAGAAGGTACAGTCAGTGGGTTCTTGAACACAGGTGTCCTCTGCCTTGGGAGTTTGGGGGAATTTTAGTCTGCCTAAAGTGACAGTGTCTTTATGTTGGTGCATAAGATGATGAACATGTTAGCATTCCCCAGGGAAGCTTGATGGCTCTCCACTTACCTGTGTGAACATGCCAGGGTATGTCTAGAGACGTGACCGCAGGCTCCCTGGCTTGGCGTCTGTGCCCTGTGTGGCCATGCATTGTGACAGTCACTCTTACTTCTCACCTCAGACTTCAGACTTGAGGAGGGCCTTGCAGAGACTGGCCCCAGCCAGGACACCCGAGGGGCCAGGTAATGGCGCTCTGCTCATTCACCCGCTGTGTTTTCAGAACAAGCGGGTGAGCATCAATAAAGATGAGCTGAAGTCGACATCCAAAGCGGTGGAAACTGTCCACAACCTGTGCTGCAACGAGAACAAGGGGGCGTCTGAGCTGGTGGCGGAGCTGAGCACTCTGTACCAGTGCATCAGGTGAGCGGCCTGGCCCCACCGTCTGAGCTGGTGGCGGAGCTGAGCACTCTGTACCAGTGCATCAGGTGAGCGACCTGGCCCCGCCTGACCGGCTCCCGGGTGCGGGGCTGGCTCAGGGCTGCTTCATGTCCAAGTTCACAGGCAAGAGCTTCGCATGCTTACTCTTTTTTTTTTTTTTTTCCTGGTCCTGGGGCTTGAATTTTGGGCCCTGGCTCTGTCCCTGAGCTTCTGTTACTCAAGGTTAGCGCTCTACCACTTGATCCACAGCACTACTTCTGGCTTTTTCTGAGTAGTTTCTTGGAGATCAGTCTCGTGGATGCTCCTTCTCAGGCTGGTTTTTGGTTTTGATTTTTGTTTTTGGTCGGTCGTTGGCTTGAACTCTGGGCCTGGACACTGTCCCTGCACTCTTCAGCCCAACGTGAGCACTCTACCGCTTGAGCCACAGCACCACTTCCGATTTTCTAGTGGTTTATTGGAGATAAGTCTCATGGGCTGGGAAGGTGGTTCAGTGGTAGAGCGCTTGCCTTGCATGCCTGAAGCCCTGTGTTCAATTCCTCAGTACCACATAAGCAAAAAGAAAAAAACCGGAAGTGGCGCTGTGGCTCAAGTGGTAGAGCACTAGCCTTGAGCTGAAGAGCTGAGGGACAGTGCCCAGGCCCAGAGTTCAGGCCCCATGACTGGACCAAAAAAAAAAAGAGTCTCATGGACTTTCCTGCCTAGGCTGGCTTTGAACTGTGATCCTCAGATCTCAGAGCCACCCACTCCTGGCTCTTTTTATTTTATTTTGTCGGTTGTGGGGCTTGAATTCTGGGCCTGGGCACTGTCCCTCAACTCTTCAGCTCAAGGCGAGTGCTCTACCACTTGAGCTACAGTGCCACTTCCCGTTTTCTGGTGGTTTATTGGAGATAGGAGTCTCATGGTCTTTCCTGCCCGGGCTGGCTTTGAACCACGATCCTCAGATCTCAGCCTCCTGAGTAGCTAGGATTACGGGCGTGAGCCACCAGCACCCAGCTTCTTTTTATTTTCTTACTTAAATACACGGAGAGAACTCTTAAACTCTTTGCAGTATGAATAATCTTCATGTATTTATTGGCCAGAAATTTGGTCAGTAAATCCTCACAAATTAGACTAAGTGAAAGGAAGGCCATCAGGAAGTTTTTTAACTTAAAGAAAAGGCTCCATTTATAGTAAAAGTTAAACCAGCAAAGTACTGCGGAAATGGCCCATCACGCCGACAGGTATGTCATGGAATAGCGTGCCCTCTGGTTCCTTCCTCATTTATCTGTGGTGGGGACCAAAGACGGTTTGCTAAATAATGGCAACAGCTTCAGCCCTGGTCACCAAACTCAGTGTTGGCACTGGTGACCTTTCCAGTGGCTGAATTGGTTTGACGTGAGCTGGAATCAAGTTCCGTTTCTCCTCTGCACCCCTGAGAGGCTGCGGCTCTCCCAGCATTCCCTGCAAGCTCCTCTTGGCTCCTGGCCTCACACAGTGAGGGGCGTGCAGCCTGAGGGGCTCAGAGCTTGTTCTGAAGCTTCCAGCCCTTCTGCTCTCAGCCTATTTAGGAACCTTTTTTCCCCACTCTTGGTTTAAAGGAAGCATTCTGCCTTGTTTGCTTGTAGGTTTCCTGTGGTCGCAATGGGTGTGCTAAAGTGGGTGGACTGGACGGTATCTGAGCCCCGATACTTCCAGCTCCAGACGGACCACACCCCCGTCCACCTGGCCCTGCTGGACGAGGTGAGAAGGCAGACGCGCCATTCACAACATGTGCAGCAGTGGGGTTCTGTCTTCTGCCTTGGAGTTGATACCTCCATTACGTCTATGGATAAGTTCCATGCTCTCTTCAGAGCTATTTATGTATTGATTGATTGTTGGTCATGGGGCTTGAACTTTGGGCCTGGGCGCTGTCCCTCAGCTCTTCAGCTCAAGGAAAGCCCTCTACCACTTGAGCCACAGTGCCACTTCCAGTTTTTTGAGTGGTTTATTGGAGATTAGAGTCTCATGGACTTTCCTGCCTACGCTGGCTTTGAACTGGGATCCTCAGGTCTCAGTAGCTAAGATTACAGGCGTGAGCCACCAGCACCAGGGAGAGTTCTTTTTTTTTCTTTTTTTCTTTTTTTGGTAGGTTGTGGGGCTTGAACTCTGGGCTTGGGTGCTGTCCCTGCGCTCTTCAGCTCAAGGCGAGCACTCTACCACTTGAACCACAGCTCCACTTGAGGTTTTCTGGCAGTTTATTGGAGATAAGAGTCTCACGGTCTCTCCTGCCCTGGCTGGCTTTGAACCGCGATCCTCAGATCTCAGCCTCCTGAATGGCTAGGATGACAGGCATGAGCCACCGGCGCCGGGCTTGAGAGCTGATTATTTTTAAGAGGATTTTCTTCTTAATGATGTAGCTTCACTGACTGTAGGTGTCTCAGGCAAAGGATTGCTGGGCTTCCACACTGCTCCGCCCCAGGTGGCCAACAGTGTCTTTGTTCTCCGAGTACCCAGCCCTGAGCTTTCAGCAGAACCCCCTTTGCCTGTCGTAGATCAGCACCTGCCACCAGCTCCTGCACCCCCAGGTCCTGCAGCTGCTTGTTAAGCTGTTTGAGACAGAGCACTCTCAGCTGGATGTGATGGAGCAGGTAAGTGGCGCCCAGGGCTGGGCAGGGCTGGGCCATCCTGCTCTGACCAGGTCCTCTGCCCCCTCCTCTTCCACAGCTGGAGCTGAAGAAGACCCTGCTGGACAGGATGGTTCACCTGCTGAGCCGAGGTTATGTACTTCCTGTGGTCAGTTACATCCGGAAGTGTCTGGAGAAGCTGGACACTGACATTTCACTCATTCGCTATTTTGTCACTGAGGTCAGCAAGGCACATTGGGTTTTTGTTTCAAACTCTTTACCCTAGCAGGTCTCCTTGTGGCTTGCTTGCTTTTGTTCCGTCTCTGACTGAGAGCTCTGCCCTGTACTACTAATCCTAGTGAGATGGCAGACAGCACTTCCTACCTTAGGCTTCAAGTGTTTCCCCACACCCTCCTGGTGTCTTAGTGTGGTGGTGTTGCTGGAGAAACCGGGGGCGGCAGGGGGACATGTGGCCTGACGGCCATCTCTGTCAGCACGGCGCTCTGCGTGGCTGCAGGCATGCTAACCGACTTTTCTGCTAGGTGCTGGATGTCATCGCCCCCCCATACACCTCTGACTTCGTGCAGCTTTTCCTCCCCATCCTGGAAAATGACAGCATCGCCGGCACCATCAAGACCGAAGGGGAGCACGACCCAGTGACGGAATTCATTGGTAAGGCCCCTGGAAGGCCCCTTGGTTGCGGGGCTGCCACGAGCCACACTTCTTGTTATAGCCGTGAGTGACCCTGTGCTCCTGTTGCAGCTCACTGCAAGTCTAACTTCATCATGGTAAACTGAGTCCAGGTTCCCGCCAGAGCTAAAGTGGAGCCCTGCAAGCCCAGCTGAGCTGTGGAGGACCTTTTCCTAGAGCTGCTCTTCAGAGGCGCAGTCAGCCTCTGCATGCAGGGCTGCCTGCTTCGTAGGAGAGCATGCCGGCAGGCAGTGTGGGACCTCTGGCCCCGCCCGTGTCCAGTGTCCACTTCCCTCAGTAAACAAGCCAAGGGAGGTGGGAATTCAGAGCAGGCTTCAGTGAAACACTTTCAAAGCTGAATCCAGTTTTCTCACAGGAAAAACTAGTCAGTTGATGTTTCACTCTAGTTGTTACAATTTGCTAATAAATTTTTTAAAAAGCCTTTCAGCCAGGTTCAAAGTTACATTGTTCTTGTGTATAAATAAGGCACTCTCAGACTCAGTCCTTGAGTGAGGCTAGATACTTTATTCACTACTTGGGTAATTTCAGATTTCTCTCTCACTCTCCCCACCTCCCATTCCAAGGTGACACCAGGACTGGTGAGGGGCCTGTCACAGCACAGTGCGGCTCACAGCTGCCCTGTGCTCAAGAGCCAGAGCCCAGCTCTGCTCCAGGTCACTCCTCGGTAGCTGGTCAGTGCAGATACTTGCCCCCCCCATCAGCTGGTGCCACATGTCAACAGGCGCCCCTCGGAGGGGTTCAGCACCACCACCAGTGTCCATGATTGGCCATCACCTTGGGTGACCACCCAGCCAGGGCACACATGGGAGGATCCCTCTGGCTGTGGCTTGTGAGGTCACATCTGAGGAAGCTGGGTTAAACAATGGGGTCTCCGAACGTGCACTGGTCCTCAATGGCGAGATTGTAGCTGGCTCCAGTCCTGTCCTTGTACATGCTGGTCACCAACCTCATCCAGCCTTGCTCACCCTGTGGGATTAGAGATGAGATCTAAGCGTCTGCAGCCCAGCCCAGCACAGCACTGCTCCACTCTGCCCCTCCGCCTCAGAGCCAGGCTCCGCTCCTGACCTCAGCCCAGCCCTACAGGACGCAAGGGTCTGGACAAGCCACCCACTGCCTGCCACGCCCATGGCCTCAGGTGGACATGTCTCTGGGGAGGTGGTTTGCGGGGTTAATGTTTACCACGTGGCCAGCTAATGTGAGAACACATGCTGACACACCCCATTTATGGTCCTGTCACCTGCTACTGACCCCCCGTCATTTCCACACCTCTCACCCCCCACCACCCCTTCCACAGTAAAGGTCTCTGCCTTCTGTCATCCCAGGCGCATGGTAGATCTTAAAGATAAGGCTGTCAGGTTGTCTTCCTTGGGTTTTTGACCCAACTCAGAACTATTCTAGGAAGTGTCCTACACTGCTTTCTTTAGGAGAGTCTACAATCTGGCAGGAACAAAGAGTGAGCTGGTCTCAAAGGAGAGAAGCAGCCATGCTGGACAGTGGCCGAGATGGCTTTAGCCATGCAGTCTCCACGGAGGCTGCTGTTCCCAGCCACACATCAGAGGGGAAATGCCTTACCCACGGTTCACCCCACGAATTGCGGACAATCCAGTACTCGGTCCCATCATCGCTGACACCCCACCCGGCCACGGAGATGATGTGGTTGATGAAGGGCTGGTCCTGGTACTCGGCATAGATGCCTCCAGTGTAGTTAATCATCTTTTCCGTTGCCATTATTCCACAGCTGGGAGTTAAGTGTTTAGGAAGAAGTTACAGGTGGTCAGCTGGTGCAAGTGCAGACCCAAGCGTGCATGCACCCAGGGCCTCTGGGCAGCCTGGTGTGGTGGTGCTGGGCCCCTTCCAGAAGCCCCCACCCCGCTCACTCTCCACATCTCCCAGTAAGCCTAGAAGGGCAAGTCAGTTCCTGTCCCAGGTATCACTGGCAGATGCTTCCCCCTGGGGGGCCTCTCACCTGATGGGACCATTGGCGTAGATCTCTGCCATCATCTTCTCCCTCCCAGACAGAGAGCCGTAGTCGCCCACCTTCCAGAGGGTGTAGTTCCGGACAGGGCGGCAGTCTTTGAATTCGGTGCAGGTCCCGCACTGGTTAAACTTGTTACACTCTGGGGAAGAGGTAGAAGTCAGTGTAAGACTGTCTCATTAACCCACCAACAAGCGCAACCCAGCCCTTCCACTTTACTAATTTGCCCTACCATTCGGTAGCTAATGGCGCAAAGTCATCTTGCGATCAGGTGCTGTCTAATTGCACGCCAGGCCGTGGCAGAACAGACAGCAAGCGTCATTAGCACATGGTAGGCATGCTAAAGTGGCCTTTTTTCTCTTGCCTGAAAGGCTGGGAGGACCTTTTCACAATGTGACTGAAAACTGAATATAACCAAATAATTAAAATTTAAGATGATTCTGTTGCTAATAGGTTTTTATAAAAAGTACTTCCTTGTTATTTCAGTCTGAGCTGTACAAGATAGGAATTAAGTTTAAAGGAAAGAAAGTGCAGCCCTAGTCACTGGATGCTGGTTCCACAGTGGCATGTTTTCCAACTGCTCTCCACCCAGCCTGACCCCCCATCCCCTGCAGCTGGCCTTTGGACCCTCTGCTGTTACCCATTTCTGTAGTAACTACACATCTGCCCAGATCTTCCCCGGGGCACAGTAAGCTCCTCCAGGATTACAGCGTTGGTTTAATTTGTCCCTTGGCCACGAGGCTGACACCCTGCTGGTATTCGGCCCGACTGGAAAATGGTGGATCTGTGACCACATGTGCTGACACAAAGCCAAGACTGTTTACTGCAAACACAAGGGTTTCTGATGAGCTCCATGCACCTGCCAGGCTGGGTGGGGTTAGAGGGGCCTGGGCTCAGCTGGACAGCACCAGTTTGGCGATAGTATAGGGTAGATAAAACTCCAGGGCATTCCACCAATGTTGAAAATATACTGACTCTGTTGGCCTAATCTGCTGGCCTTCCCTCCTCCCTCTGCCTGTCCCAGTTCTGGGGTCTCTTGTCACTGAGGCTTACCCAACCAGGGCAAGAACTTCCCCCACCCATCCAGAACTTTCTGGCTGGGCAGTAATGCCCAGGAGGCTAGAGGAGGGAACCCGGCTGGCAGAGGTAGGATCCAGTGCCTTCTGGTACTGTGCTGGAGGCCTACAGCCATCCCACATGGAATTCTTCCCACTCCCCTCTCCGCTCTAGTCTCCAAGGCCTTGAGCTTCTAGAGCTCTCTGCCCCGGCTGGGGGAGAACTGAGGGACAGTGGCTTACAGCAGCCAATTATGAGTTTGGGCCTGGGCTTTTTCTTGCCTTTGGTCTCCAAAAGGAACAGCCTGAAATGGAACGTGCCAACTACAATCTTCCAGGGCAGCCTGCCCTGCCATCCATGCTGGACCCTGGCAGCTGGGGTGGGAAACCTGGTGGATACTGTGGTACCGTGAACCTGGCTTGCTGGTAGCAACCTCCCCACCTGCTCTCTGCACTTGGAGAAGGTGGGAGGCCACTGACAGCCAGCACTCCCTCAAAAGCCTATGCAGCTACCAAAATGGCAGGCATCAGAACCCACACACCACCACATCCAGGCCTGGCTTCAGAGGCACTTAGTTTAGTCTGGCTTGTCCCTGGGTGGAGTTCTGACATCTGTATACCACGCCAGGTTTTGGATGGTTTTCCACCAGACAATGGGCTCCAGCTTTTTTTGTTCCTCGGTCCAAGCTGGCCCCAGAGAAGCTGCAACCTTCCTGGGAGCTTGGAGTCTGGGTCCCTAGTCTCTTCAGCATCCATGACAAACACAGGTTCACCTGGGCTCCCAGCTCAGGGAAGCCCCACCCTGGGATCTTCTCTTGGCAGACAGAGTGGAGAGCAAGAGGGGGACGGCTGTGGGCTCAGGCAGGGCCTACCCTGGTCCTTGGCCTGGTAGTTGTTGCAGGTCTCGTCGGGAATGCCGTGCTTGTGAGCGTACTCCCACACCGGCAGGTCGTTGCCTCCCTCGCACGAGCCAGCATTCCCACAGTCAAGGACATTCTGTACGGACAGCAGTGTGCTGGGCCACGCACCCTTCCTCTTGATGTTGATGCGATCTGCAACAGCACTCCGGTTAGCACCCCTGGCCCGAACCCACCCCATTTCCGCAAATGGCACCGGATGCCTCTATCAGGCTGCCCTGCCCCCCAGATCTTTCCCACATGGACCTTGGAGAGGCCTTGGTCAGCTGTGGCCATCCACAGGCCTGACCTTTCACTGTGTGGTCTGACCGCTGACCACTGGGCTACAAGGACCATGAGGCGGGGCTGGAGGGACAGGTTCCCTGGGAGCACCCGCTGGAGGACCAGCATGGGCTGCATGGCCTTCCGGGGCAAGGAGGCTGCAGCAGAGAGGGACTGATGGGCATCTCCATGAGCCAACGGGGCCCAGGGAGCTGGAGGCGCCTCTGCAGTACCGTGCAGGGAACAAGACCTCATCCTGTCCCCGCCTCTTTGCTCTGTGCCCCTGTGCTCTGTGCCCGGGTCCCTCCCCAGGACTTGGCTCCCTCCTCATCCCATCAGCAACTCCCCTACCAGTGATGATCTGAGCAACCACACTGGCCTGCTCTTCTCACAGCCCAGCCCCCTTGACCCCTCTGGCCTGGCCAGACAGGCACCCACTCTCCGCAGAGTTCTGTTCGGCACTGCGCAAGTCACTCTTGTCCATCTCTCTCCCACTACCAAATCCTAATCTGACCAGCCTTCTGGAAACCACTCGCTGTGCCCGGCCCCGGTGGCAAAGGCCTCCTGACTGCCTGCCTGCACACTACCAAGCTTCCTGACAGGTCCACACACTCCCCTACTCCACTCTACTTGCTACTTCCGCCCTCGCCGCAGCCTGGGCATCAGGTTTCTACTCACAGGCTGCATGCGAGCACTGTGCCTCAGGCTGGAGCAAGCAGTCCCCAGGGGGCTCACCCCATGGTAGGCAGATGGATGGCAGACAAATGGAACTGGGCTATGCACACAGTGCTGTGAGGAGGTGCCAAGGGGCCCATCAAGAGGGTGCAGTAAGCGGTGCCCATTTACACGGGCAATGAGGAATACCGTGTATGTGGGCAGTGGCGGCAGCAGCAGCGGCATTGGGTACAAGACAGCAGCCAGGCTTCCACTGTGTACCAGTGGCATGCAGGAGGGAGCTGCTAGGTGTGGAGGATCACGGGACTTTGTCGTGTGTGTGTGTGTGTGTGTGTGTGTGTGTGCGCGCGTGTGCGCGCGAGCACACGTGTGCACGCACGCACACGCCAGCCAGTAGTGGGGCTTGAACTCAGGCCCTGGGCGCTGATCTTCAGCTTTTTCACTCAAAGCAGGTGCTCTACCTCTTCAGCCACACTTCCAACTTTTGGGGTGATTTAATTGGAGATAAGTCTCAAGAAAGACAGGCATTGGTGGCTCATGCCTGTCATCCTAGCTACTCAGGAGGCCGAGATCTGAGGATCACAGTTGAAAGTCAGCCTGCGCAGGAAAGTCCATGAGACTCTTCTCTCCAATTAACCACCAGAAAATAGGAAGTGAGCTGGGAGCCAGTGGCTCATGCCTGTAATCCTAGCTACTCGGGAGGCTTAGACTTGATGATCACGGTTCAAAGCCAGCCTGGGCAAGAAAAGTCTGTGAGACCCATCTCTGAACCACCAGAAAACCAGAAGTAGTGCTGTAGCTCAAGTGGTAGCCTTGAGCTGAAGAGCTCAGGGACAATACAACACCCAGGCTCAGAGTTCAAGCCCCATGACCAACCCCTCCCCCCCAAAAAAAGTCTCAAGGACGCCAGGTGGTAGGTGGCTCGGGCCTGTAATCCTAGAGGCCAAGATCTGAAGATTGTAAAACCTTTAAAAGACAGGAAAGGCGGTGAGACTCTTATCTCCAACTAACCACCTGAAAAACAGAAGTGAAGCTGTGGCTCAAAGTGGCAGAGTACAAGCTTTGAGCACAAAAGTTCAGGGACAATGCCCAGGTCCTTAATCCAAGCCCCATGACTATTAAAAAAAAAAACAACACACACACAAAAAACTCAGGACTTTGCTGCTGCCCAAGCTGGCTTTGAACTGCAATCTTCAGATCGCAGCCTCCTGAGTAGCTAGGATCACTGGCACTGTCTTTTATCTGAGGGAAATCACAAGTGGAAGAACATGATTTGACTTGGGTTTAACACGCACATTCTGGAATAAGGGGAGCAGCAGGACCCACTGAGAGGCAAAGGGACGGCAGGGTCTGATAGAGGGAATAGATTGGTACCTGCTGTGACTATAGAACCACAGGAGCCAGTGTGTAGAAGGGACATAAAGAGAGGGAATCAGGTAGCCTCTAGGGTTTTGGGTGCAAATCTGCTGGTGAAGGGCCAGGGAAGGACAGGCTGGCAGGGCGGGAGTGGTGGGAAGGGCGAGATGTTCAGACCTGAACATAGAAGTGGCAGGGATCTAAGTGACAGGTGACAGGCAGGTGAATGCAAAGTGAGCCCGGGCAGGAGTCAAGAGATGAGGACAAAGCAGACAGGTGGAGGCAGGTGGGTGCTTGAGGGCTGAGTTCCAAAGCGGGCTGGAGCACAGCCAAGCAGGGGCCTGGCATCAGACCTCTTCCCCTGACCTCTGGGAACTCCACGATGGCGGCAGAGATGGGAGGGAGGCCAGCGTGGGCTCACAGCGGAGACGTGGGAGGATGGGGCCTCAGATCCCCCTGCGATTGCTGAGAAGCAGGGTGGTAAGAGGGCAGGAGATCAAGAGGCATTAGTCTGGAGGTGGCAAGCCTCAGACAGGGGATGAAAATGGCCTCCTGGGAGGGAGAGGGTAGTCTCAGTGAGAGGCTTTAGTGCCAGTGACCGGGGAAGAGGAAGAAGACAAACTCTGGCTCCCTGACTGCACTGGCTGTCAAATGACCCCCTTCTTCTCAGCGAAAGAGGAAGCAAGAGCTGCAGCTGGAGACATCAGGGGCTAAAACAAAGAAAGGTGGTAGCCAGGGCTCTAGAGACTCTGCACTCAGTAATGGAGCAGGGAGCTGTCTCAGCAAGGCCTGGCCCCCCTCCGGGAAGGAGCAAGGCCCTACCAGCCTCCAGCCAACTCAGACCCTGCAATCTTCAACCAAGGCAAACACTGTCACATGACTCCCTCCACAGTCCTGTGACCTTCCCAGCTCCTCCCTTCACCCCGCCCAGTACTCTGCTGAGAAGGCTCTTTCACTTCCCTAGGCCAACCCGGGCACTCTCTGGACTTTGTCCATCCTCTACCTACCAGCCCACTGGCACCCTCTGTCCCTCCAGGCCCACCTGTGCCCACTTGGTCCTCCTTCTAGAAGGGTCCAGTGTGTTTCAGCTCTCTGGGGGTACCTCATCAGTTCCCAAAGACAGAGAGGACTGAGCTAACAGGAGAGACTTGCAGGTACCAGAGACCCCAGCCCCGACAGAAACCTCTCCCCCTGAAGCTCTCACACAGGCAGGCTTCTGGGCTGAACCCCATGGCTGAGTCTCACGCAGCATCGGCTTCCTGGTCCACACACAGAGCAGCCATAGAACTTGAGGCTCAAGGTGTTGCCCTCAGGACCTGTTCCACCCCTTGGGAGGCCCCTAATCCTCAGAGCAGGTCTGGCCGGAGATGCCAAACAGCACCCAGTCTGGGCTAAACTGCCAACCACTGTGAGTCCCTTACCGGGTGGAAATCAGACTCATGGACCCTAGGGCTGCCACTGGGAATGGTGGGACCCCTCCCAGCTGCTGTGGGCCGGCCTGGCACTTCTCTGCTTTTGTCTCCTCAGGGTGGCATGGGCATCAGATCCAGCTCCCTCCTTGCCCTAAGCCTTCCTGCCCCACTGTTGCCAGAGGGGAAGGTCCAGTGGAGAAAACTGGTGAGGCTGGAGCAGACTGGGTAGGAGAAAGAAGCTGCGCTAGCCTCACCCCAAGTCCAAGGCGCAGGACAAAATTCATCTCAGTTCCTAACCACTGCGGAGAAGTTTCACTTCTACTTCCCCGAAGCCCCAAGGCCGAGCTGGGGGCTCAGTGATTTTGCATCTCCATGGCGGAAGCTGCAAGCTTTGGGGGAGAGTGGGCACGCAGGAGCTACCTGGCGGTGAACTTGGGTCCTAGGCCCGCCTGCTGCCCAGAGGCCGCAGAGAAGACCCCTGCGTTCACTCTGCTCCAGCCATTTTGGTAGGTGCAAAGGCTCGGGCTAAGTCCCGGCACAGCCACCACAGGCCCTTGGGAAACTGGGTCGTGGCAGCCTGCCCTCACCGGGAAGCAATCTGGATGGCCAAGTGGCGGCCAGGCACTGGCCCCCGGCGGAGCCCTAGGCCCCAGCCACCCACCTGCCATCGCACTGGTGCTGCCATGGGCCCAGCAGGAGCCACAGTACTGGGGGATGTGCTGGTTCCTGGTGACACTGACGTAGTTGACACCGTCCACGTTGCGCCAGTCCCAGCTCTTGGGGAGGTCTGACGGGGACAGGTACTCGTGTGGCCTCGGGTACGTCCTGGGAAGAGATGCACATCACTGAGGTCAGCAGCCCTGGGCTCTGGGGGACCCCCTCCCCCCCCAGCAGCGGGCATCACCAGGGTGCCCAGCCCCACCAAGCCCCAGCCCTGTCAGAAGGCGAAGGTGATAGGCCGCCCCCAAGCAACACCAAGCTCCAGAGGCCAGCAAAGTGGGGGAGCCTCCTCCTGGAGGGGTGCAGCCGGCCCCCTCCACCAGAGCTGCCCCGTAAGTGGGGGGCAGGGCGATAAGTCCCAGCTGAGCTCCCCGGGGCTGGGGAGGCTGGAGGCCTCGGCTCCTG